TCACTGCAGGGGTGCACCGAGGAGGGAGACACCCTCATCTTTGGCAGCAAGACGATCGGGAAGATGCAGTTGCTGCGGGAGAGGAACGGTGTTCTGTGGGTCGATGGGTTTCCGGAACCTCCGATCCCCGCGGAGCCCGAGCGAGAGGCCCAGCCAGAGGGCCAGGAGGGGGAGGCTGCTGATGAGGTGGATCCCGAGGAGGTGGATGCTGCTGCTGCTGCTGATGCTGCCCCCCGCCCCACCACCTTCGAGTATGGCGGTGGCAGCTCCGCTTTCCAGGGCCAGGATTACTTCTCTCATCAGTTCGAGCAGCTGCGGATCCAGAACCAGCTGATCCTCGACCAGCAGATGCAGTTCCATCAGCAGTACGCGGCAGACCAGGCCGAGTACTGGAACAGGATGGCTTCTTATGACGAGCGGCTGAACATGATCCAGACTCAGCAGGGCGTGACTCTCGCCCACATCGAGCGGGAGAAGCGCCGTTCACGGCGCATGCAGGAGGTTCAGTAGCACCTGCTCCAGCTGCTCCCGGGCGAGCAGCCTGTCTGGAGGACTCCCTGGGATGACTCCCCTCCATATGCCCCAGCTGACGGTGATGATGGTGCTGCTGGCGCTGCTGATGATGACGCGTTCATGAACGACATCGACCTCGACGATCTTGGCGACGAGTAGGCTGTACTCGTTGCCCGTCTCAGTGTGTTTTATTTTTCGTTTTAGACTTTTGGGTGTTTGCTCCATGTGTGAGGAGCTTGAACTTAGTATCGTTTGTTTTTTCTTTTCTTTTTCTTTTGTGGTTTGTTTTTGATGTAGCCGTCTGGGCTAACACTTATCCCTAACGCACAGTGTGGTAGTGTGTTTCTGGTGTTCGATTTGTGCAGCATTGTCCACTCTCCCGTTTGTTTCTCGCTGACTGGTCCACTTCCAGTCCCCCAGCAGTGTTTCAATCCGGTAACATCGTTCCCCTTATCTCTCCCTCTACTCCATTGAGGGCAATGTCGTGCTTAAGTGTGGGGGGGTGCTTTGTATCGGTTGGAATATATATTTGGGTGCTTGGAGCCTAGTCCGCTGTCCGAATCTTACGATTTGAGGGCTCCAAGTACTGCTGTTTGATCATATTGGCACTGTGTTTTGATGGATGAATTGATTGGTTTTCGGCTTAATGCATGACAACTTGTTTGCGACTAGGACAACCTATGATGAGGACTGAGATGTGCAGTAGAACGATGTAGGGGTTCGGTTTTTCAACTGTTTGCTTGCCAACTGTGACTTGATCTGATCACTTGTTCTTGACAGTCGTTTATGCATCTAGTTCAGGGTATCAGAATGTGAGATAGAGCATATAGGTAGCCATGTGAGATTTGAGCCTGCTCGTTTCTTTCTTGTGCGATAGATCCCTCTTCCATGATGTGTAGCATTCACGTTGTCACTAGCTAATATGATGGGGGCATAGGATTAGCCCACGCCCAAAACGGACTGTCCTGATGTGTCATATCCCCTAGTCAGCCCCTTTGAGCCGTGTGTTATCCTTTCTTTTGGTCTATAACGAAAAAATCACCCTTGTTGCATCTTTTAGAAGGTTCCACAGAGTGGTTTTTTTTTCATATTCTCTGCTGTTTCTGCTAAAGTCCATGTGAGTGTTGGAGGTAGTGCTTAAAAGTTGGGCAGGTGTTTGAAATTTGTGCAGGAGTGGTGGCTCTCTTAAGAAATGAAAAGAAAAATGAAAGAAAAACAAAGAAAAATTGAAAGCAAAAGAGGGCCACTACCAAAAATCTGAATAATGCCCATTAAGTAGTGTTTCTTAGCAGTCTGGCTTGGAAATGCTGATGTTTATACCTCCTTCGCTCTTGTGCTCTTGAGATATTGAGTAATGCAGAATAGCAGAAAGAAAATACCGGTTTGTTTGACTGTGATTGTGTGTTTGGAAAATGTGGAACCTTGTGTTATGAATACTTCCACCACTTAAAAGGCCTTTTCCCCATGTCCAAGACCCTAGCCAGTCATTTGAACCTGTGTCTAAGACCTCCTGATTAGTTAGTGGTGACACCCCTTATGTGAACTCTAGCATTTAGAGGCTGCCATCATGGTGAAGAGATGATAGGGATTGAGAGAAATAGCATGCGCATTTTTCGCATTAAATTGTCCTGACCCCACTGGTCGAGAGTGAGTGATTCATTTTCATATTCTTTATACTCTTGTACCCCGGTGAGGACCTAGATTGCTCGGTCTCTGTTCTGATGTCTTGAGTTGGATGCATGAGTTGACTGTTTTGAGTGAGTGGTTGAATCAAGTCTAGGTTGGTTGGTGAACAGAAGGGAGACTCTTCCTTTACTCGATTTTGCTGCACTCGAATGTCCTTTGTGGTGGTTGTCCAGGTTGCTATTAAGATAGTTCATGTGTGGATGTTTGAAAACCAGTGCGATTCACGTGTTCTGTGCCTTTATGACTTGTCCCCAATGTTGGTTGATTGAAATATGTAAGCTTACCTGGTGTCTGACTTGGTTTGCTTGGGGACAAGCAAACGGTTAAGTGTGGGGGAGTTTGATAGACCGTTATTTACACATGTTTTTACCCTCGTTCTTACACCGTGTGAGGTGTTGATTCTCGTGTTTTAGGCCGATTTCACGCTAGTTTGTGCTTGTTTGTGATATTTCAGGTCCTAGTACGTGAATGGAGGCTTGGGAGCGAGTCTGGGGTCGATTGGACGAAGATCGGACGAATGGCGAGATTTCAAGGAAGCTGCACGGGCAGACCATGGAATGGCACGGCCGTGCGCAGTACAATCCAGGCCGTGCGGAATTCTGCGAGAGCGAGCACGGGCAGGCTGGATTCCTCACACGGCCGTGCAACCCTGGCCGTGTGAGATGGCTGAGATTAATTGATGCGCCGCGTTTTGAGCTGCACGGCCAAGTGGGTGAGTCGCGCGGCCGTGCACCCTGGCCTTGCGAGTCGGGAAATCCTGGTTTTAGAGCCTATTCCGAGCCAAAAGTGGGAGAATCGAGTTTTCAGAGCAAAAATAGAGCCCTAGAGAGAGAAAGTACGAAGAACACATCCTAGAAGCTATCTTAGAGCTGGATTTCATCGAATCGAGCTTGGAGATCGTCATAGGAGTGGAAATCATCATCCCGGAGCAGATTTTCCTCATTGTTATGAGTATGACTACTCTGATTACTGTTTTCTCTTCTCTCTCTATGGAGTAGAACCCTTCTCTCACTTGGGTATGAAGAACCCTAGTTCCTGGTGTTAGGGATTTGATTGTAATGACTTGGGATGATATTACTGTTTGATTTTAATCGAATGATGCATGTTTATTGAATTGATTTGAGTCTGATCAGCTTTTCTCGATTTCTGCTGCAACCTGAGATAGATAGAATCTGATTAGGTTATTAGAGTCTCTTCATTCGATAGTAGGAGATTGGCTGTACGAGAGTTAGCCAGTTTACTGCTTTGTACTGGAATTTAATTCCAGTAGTGGAGTTCTGTGTTCATAGCCTCAGCTTTCTATCCCGGTGAAGACTAGTCGTCTGCCGGGTAGTTAGACTGAGAGGGCTTGGTCAGCTTAAGAGATTCCAAGCTACTGTCGGAGCTTCCGCAGTCTAATCAACAGTAAATCAACCCAGGGGAATTACAATTGAACCTAACTAAGGGGCTAGGGGGACTCAATCCCGAGTGACTCTTTCCTGACTTTGAAAACCGAACAATTTACTGCTTTCTTACTGCTTTAGCTTTAACAGCAATCACTCGAACTAGTTTGCTAGATAATAGAGAATCACGGAGTAAGCAGTAGATCTAGACCCCGGGTTGATAATATAACTTGCCTGTTACTGCATCCCCGGACTGCGATTACACTTGGTCGCAGTTTGGTGTTGTATTTTGGCGTGTCACCCGGATCACAACACCATCGCGCGATGCAAAACACGTGGAGGGCATCGCCCGGTTGCCGAGCGAACCCCATCGATTGGCGCCAAGGGGAGTACATGGATCACTTAGCTGGCGGGTAACCACCGTTGGATCACGTCCCAGCGGCGCGATCGTTTGGTTCGCTCCTTATCCTAGTGAACCACTTCCCATCCAGAACACCTATAAAGAACCCCCTTTCCTGCATCCCAAACCACACCACTCCACCTTCTTTTCTCCCTCTCATTTCCACCACTAAAGGAAAGGAAAATGCTTTGGGGTTGCGGCTTATGCTGATCTTCCTGTAACAGAAGTAATTTTCTTTAGTGGGTTACCCCACCTACGAATATTTTGAACCAACCTCTGTCCGATTTTTGCACACCAAATGGAGGAAGAAGCTAATAGGGTATGTTTTTTTATCTGATCCAATTTGAATTTATAGTGCTATGATTGTTGCATTTAAACTCTTCATCCACATCCACATTCTGACTAATTTGTTTTTTTTTTTTTGCCATACAAGTTGGGTGCGGAGATTTACGATCCGAGAATTTATATTCATCCTGGTCCGAGAAATCCAGATTTATTGGAAGACCAACCTTTTCATCGATCGCAAAGTGTTTGGGCAGCAGACCCCGTAATTAGTATTTATCAATTCATATGCATACAATATAATTAGCATTTATTATTTATATTTTATAATATAATTATCAGTTATTATATCTATTTCGTACAATATAATTAGCAATTATTATATATATTTCATACAAATTAGAATTTAATATTACTATTTCATAATATAATTACCTTTTATATTTTCTAGTTCATTCAATATAATTAGTATGTATTATTACTAGTTCGTCCATTGTAATTAGCAATTATTATATCTTTTAGTTCGTCCAATATAACTAGCATGTATTATTTATATATCGTACAATATGATTAGTATTGATTATTTGCCCCTCAAAACTAATTATTAAATTTTTATTTTGTAGGAAGAACTCAATGTTATCACCCATAGGGGGACATCCGCCTTGCCCCCATGGGATGTATGAATCGAGCCTTTTATCGAGAGAGCGGGGTTGGCGAGGGCGCGATTCTTCAGAAGAATGGAGTTTGACAACAATATGCTCACGACATTGGTCGAAAGGTGGAGGAGAGAGACGCACACCTTCCACCTCCTCGAGGGAGAGGCGACGATCACATTGAAGGACATCGCCTTGCTCACCGACTTACCAATCAATGGAGAAGCGATAATTGGGAGTTCGAAAAAACCACAAGCTGGTTGGGGGCCTTACATACTCGCACACTTGGGCATCGAGGTCCCCACGGTAGCAGAAGCCGACCACAAACCACCACTAGATAAGTCAATGTTGTCAATTCCGTGAATAGTGAACCACGTTGGTGCATTGGAGGAGAATGACACAGAGGAGCAAGTCGAGCGGTATGCTCGTGTATACCTTATTGGGCTGGTTGGGGGAGTGTTGTTCCCCAACAAGTCCAATAGGTATATTCATTGCATGTGGCTTCCGCTGCTATTGGGAGATTGGGATGACATGGGACGAAAGAGCTGGGGATCAGCTTGTCTGGCAACGTTGTATGCAAAGCTGTTCAAGTGTACCGACCCAAATACAAAGCAAGCGGGTGGTGCAATGTTCATCGTCCAACTGTGGGCTTGGGAGCATCTTCCAAGCTTTGCGCCATTTTGCCCCGCCAATAATTGGGCCCACGATCATCATCCAAGGCAAGCACCGTATGGTGCTAGGTGGACAGGAGCTTCGACAAGAGACCACCGTCCTGAACACTCTCTTGCCGGATATCGCATGCATCTTGACAATCTAGAGTTCAATGAGGTAACCTTCCAAATCCAATTTCATAGAATAGTTGAACATAATTTCCATAGAGTAGTTGAATTTTTTTTTCATAGAGTAGTTTAATTTATTTTCATAGAGTAATTGAATTTCTATTCATATAGTAATTGAATTTATTTTCATAGAGTAATTGAACATAATTTTCGTACAGTAATTGAATTTCTGTTGATAGAACGCCATTTTCTTCGTAGGTTAATTGGGATCCGTATGCTCCCGGAGTGGTGATGACGCACGCATTGCGGTCCCCTGAGGACCAACAATGGTGGTCATGCAATGTGCCACTAATATGTTTCAACATCGTTGAGTGGCACCTTCCAGATAGATGCGTCCGGCAATATCAGTGGCAACAACCGATTCCTGCAATGCCACCAAAGGGGATGAAAGAACTCCACAAGCATAACCAGGATTTGCGGGGTGCTATCACTGAGTGGATGAGCAAACATGAGCCTTGGATTTCTATTTGGGAGAATCGAGCTAATCATGTTGTTGGAGGCATCCCGATGACAAGGCCAATGGGGTACCAAGACGAATACATGATTTGGTACCGCCAGTTTACCAAGAGATTCGTTACCAAGCGTGGTGCTGTCATCGGTTCTTTGGTAAGCACACATCTATTTTTTTCCATAGTTAACAATATAAGACGTTCCAAATAACATATTGTGAACTAGGTTGATGGGTTGGAGCTTGCGAGGTCGACTGTGGAGAGTGAACCCATGTTGCCGCCCGAGAAGATCAACTTTTTACGGAGACTCCTCAGGAACCTATTGTCATGTCACGGTGGCATAGAAGAGATGTTGGATCTTACAAATCTTATTCAAGTTATATACGCAATACAAATACAATCATATGGAACCAAACAACAACAACAACAACTTAGTACAAATTTTAGTATCAATTGTTTGATGGTAGTCCTGGGCAATGACGTTTGTCGTGCCCAACAACTCGACATACAGAGCACTATTTTGGAGGTCGTTGAAGTCGCCCTGATCTGTCCATCTCATTGTGAATTCTATTTACTCTTGGTTGTCCTTTCGTACGTCTCCTATGCTCAGGAGGGAAAACCACTGGCCCATCATACTCGGGCCAATAAGCTTCATGACCCAAAGGCATGAAGGACAATAGATGATATTGGCATTGCACGAATGCCAACATACAAACCATTGAAGCTCTCACCCATGTTCGTCGTGGTTATGCCATACCTATACCCTCCATCTTGGTGTAATGTCCACTTCTCAAAATCATGCCTTTCCAACCAATCTGCACCTTCAGGGTGAATCTCTCTTATATGCTTCATCGTGTCAGCAAACTTTCGGGGTTGATAATGGGTAGCGGCATGAAAGAGTGTGACAATTAGATATGAAACATACACATATTAACGGGGGATAATCCCCTGGAATAATTCTAAATTGTCATTACCAGCTCGCCATACATCAGCTTGGCCTGTTGTGCGTCCAAACTTACGACCATAATTGCTCTTGAAATGAGGCATGCACCATCGCCACTTCCATCCAAGCTCGTCAGACAAATCGTACATTGCCTGGCGAATGCCATTGTGACGATCAGATAGGATGGCAATGCCCTTCCGTTGAGTAACATGAGTGTATAGTTGCTGAAAAAACCATGGCCAACTGTCGTTGTTCTCCGATTCAACTATAGCAAATGCAAGCGGAAAGACTTGTCTGTTGCCATCAACACTTGTGGCGATCAGTAGAGCACCCCTGTATTTACCCATCAGAAAGGTCCCATCTACTTGATTTACCAGCAAGCAGTGTTCGAAACCATCGATGCATGGTTTGAATGCCTAAAACAGTCTATCAAACACTCATTTGCTCCCTGCTACATAATCTTCATATTTTGGCACGAAAACACTACCAGCAACCATTTCAGCAGCCGCACTGCCAGTATGCCGAACCACCATGTCGGAATGAAAAGCAGTTGGTCCTCCATGTCAGAATAATTGAAATCTTAAACATGGGGTAAACCCAACGTGTGCGGGCACCGTTCATTTCACGAAATCGGGTTTTGAAGAGATTTTAGTGATCCTTGGTGGGGTACTCCTACAAGGTGAAGCTAAGCTGTCTCTAGTACAAGTAAAATTTTCACCCGTTGAACGGTTTGCCTACTCGAGCATGTGTTTTAAGGGCACGGATAGAGCTTCCGACCCCCCTTAATTTCATTGACCCTCCACACGAGTTGAGGAAAATGAGTTAAATGAAGTACTCTGGCGAGTGACAGATGTACAGAAATTGCTCTTGCTCGACTAATAAGGGTCGATCGTACAAAAAAACTGTAGTTGGAACCCCGACCAAGTGAATGAAACAAGAAAAAAATGTAAAATGAAAGTGCAAAAGGGGTTCCAACGGTGAAATGAAGTGAAAGAGCACCCCGGTACAATGAGTCCTTGGTTGTTGAATGGTGTGAGTCCCTTTACCCATGTACTGGCTGTCTTAATTCCACTGCTTCTCATGATCCTGGCTTGAGTCTAGCACTCACATTGAGAGAGATAGGGGACGCCTTAGAAGACCAATTGACCTCGTAAGCTGCTATATGATCTAGGAAATCCTCTACTGACGATCGGGGTTGTTTGTTGCTATAGAGGTCTGGAGAGCTGCATTGGTTTGAGTTAGGTTTGCTTGGGGACAAGCAAACGGTTAAGTGTGGGGGCATTTGATAGACCATTAATTACACATATTTATACCTCCATTCTTGAGTCGTTTGAGAGTCGATTCTCGTGTTTTAAGCCGATTTCACGCTAGGTTGTGTGTTTATGTCATATTTCAGGACTTGGCGTTGATGTAAAGGCGAGGAAACGAGTTTCGGGTAAAAAAGGAGGACACTGGAGTAAAGGGCGCTGGAAGAACAAAATACCCGGTAAGGAGTTAACATACCCTGCCGGGTAAAATGCAAAGGGAGGCCGGGGATTCGCGTTTTTGGACGCCAAGAAGGCAGAAGGGGTCCCAGCCGGAGAGCAAAAATACCTGATAGGGTATTCTGGACCTCGATCGGGTATTAACCCCATTATGCGCTGCTGTGCGTTTTGAAATCCCCGACCGGACACCTGAAATACCCGACTGGGTATTATGGCCGGGGATCGCGACCTGCTGATTCTTAAGGGAAAGAAGGCCAACTTTTGAAGGGTTCCAAGGTTTAGAGATAGAAAGCTGATACCTAGAGAGAGAGAGTGAGTGACGAACCAGATCCTCCAAGCGCCCTAGATCGATCTTCATCACCATTGGAGCTCGGCTTAACCTTGGAGAAGTGCCGATTGATTGCCAGAAGCAGAATCTCATCCTTCACAGCATGGTTTCCGCATCTGAGCTAGATTTCTCTTCTCTCTCTATGGAGTAAACTCTCTCACTCACATGGGTATGAAGAACCCTAGATTTGTATGTTAGGTCTGATTGTATGAACCCAAGTACGAATTCATTGATGTTGATTATATTCAATTGAGGTTTGATTTCCTGAATGGCATGAATCCTAATCAAATTCCTGTTATTTCTGCTTTGACCTAGAAAGAGAATATCTGCCTAGGTTGAAAGAGCACCCTTAATTGACGGTAGTGAATTGACGACTTTAGTCGAGGAGTCAATTCACTATTATGTACCGGATTTACTTTGGTAGAGGAGGTTTAGTTCGTTAGGGCCTCAATCTGTTTACTCCGGTGGAGGTTAGTCGCCCGCTGGGGACTCAGATTGAGAGGGTCTGGAGACCTTTAGTCTAAACTGCAGACTGTTTAAGAACCTCCCGCAGTATAACTATCATTGAACTTGAACTTGGTGAATTACAACCTAGCTTAACTACAGTCTAGGGAGAACCATATTTGGGTGATCTCTCTCAACTTTGAACACAACTTTCACTGCTTTTGCCTGGTAGTTTAGTTAAAACCTTCATTACACTTGAATCGCTAAATAATAAGATTTTCACGGAGTAGTCATCACACTTAGGACCCGGGTTGACATTTAGAACTGAACCCGCTATACTACGCATTAGTAGGTGGTTACACTTGCCCACTTTCTAGTGTGACGGTAGAGGCGTGTCACCTATTGAGCAACAACATCACCTTGGTCTCCTCCCTTCTCCGTCGGCTACTGATCCTGGGCTTTTCGCCGTTTGGTTGGGCGTCTTCTCTATCTCATGGTCACTCGACCAGACATTACATATGCTGTTAATCTTCTTAGTCAGGCTATGCATGTGTTGAGTAAAGCCCATGAAGATGCGTCCGTGCGCGTGCTTCACGAAGGGATTGAGTGTTGATCAGTTTCATCATCTCTTTGGCAAGCTTGGACTTCTTGATATTCACTCCTTCGCTTGAGGGGGAGTATTGTGACTCCATATGTCACGTGTCATTTATATGGGAGTCATTTTGTAATTATACCTTTGTCATGTTGATACGTAAATGAGTTAGGTTAGGTTAACTGATGTATATATAAATGCCCGGGTTGTGGCTGCCAAACCCTAAGCCGAGAACAACAAGATAATAATATCTCTCCGAGAGCTGCAAGCTCTCCGTGGACTAGTCCTGCTCACATTGAGCAGGGAAACCACATAAATCCCGTCTCGTATTATTTTCTTTTCCGCGATCATTGATTTTTACATACATAATTTTAGTTTCTTTCGAATAATTGTTCTATTTCATTTAATTTAGTTCTTGAGTTAGAAAAACCATTCAACCAGATTTTTGTCTCGTAACAAACGGGGAAGCTAACCTTTATACCCATATATTTATTATATTTTGATAGTGGGTGAGGTCATAACTTGCCCCGTTTTAAAATATGTCGGGTTCTACACATTACATCATGAGCCAAATAGAGGAATAACTATGTGATGAGGCGGGACGACCCACTCTTATATGTTATTTGAAAATAGAACTTTGATATTTAACTCTTTTATAAGAAGACATATAAAATAATAGAAAACACTTCATAAAATAACGAAGGATTAGTAGAAGGAATAATTGAGAGTCTAAATAGTTGAAAGAATAGAATCCTAAAAATTTGATACAAATCATTATATCATGGAGCAACGACGCTATTGTGATTTGTGAATGGAACAATACTCGCCCGAGACAAATCGGAAGAGGTCAGATCACAGGTAAAAAATTACCATTATCATAGCCGAAATACTAATAGGACTGGAGAGATCAGTAGAGATTCCAAAACTCACTTAACGGGGGAAAAAAAAAGAGATGAGAGGAGCTCTCTCCTCTCTCCTCGTCTTCGATTCCTTTCTTGGGCGATTGCTTTTACGGATCATTGGCGCAATCCTTGCCGCCAGCCAGGAAAACCAGGAGAAGAATAGAAACTGGCCTCGTGAAGCGGTGGATCCCGTCGTTAATGGAGGTTGTGGCGGTGGAACGGCTCGGGAGATTGTGGCTCCCGAAGTGCAGAGGAAAGCTCATTCTACGCGACGGTCGATTGCCTCGCGGATCCACTGTAAACGAAGTCATAAACGAAAACGTCAGTTTGTTGAAAATGATGTTGATGCCATTCAGCGGCCATCATCAAAAAAATTCAAAAGCAAATCAGGGGGTGGATGGAGATTCTGGCTCCCCACTTCGCTGGAGGTAGACTGTGAGATACCAAGCTCGGATTCGTCTGTGGGGATGGATAGTCATAGTTCTAATGGTGTGGCGGATTCAAATCAGCGCAATGATCGCTTGATCCACCCTCGACCCCTCGGGGAAAACACTAAAAATCTTACGCCATCGGTAGGATTGACAATCTTGGACCCTACTCTGCGGTGCCCCGTCGCCGGCGGACTCCCGAAACTTCGGTCTGCAAAAACTGTCATCGGCGGGCGACTGCCTGCTCCGGATAGGGAGGAAATAGATTGGGCCGGATCTCTTCTGGATTTGCCGTTTATTTGGAGCGGTATCGGGGAATATTTTACCCGTTTTAAAAATCAGATTACGTTGGAAAAATCTGACGTTAATCTTCTAAGTGGGTTTCCTACTCCTAAACCAACTCTTCGGAATAGGTTTAAGGAACACGCCCCACGTCTTTGGTTGAGTTCCAAACAATCTCTCGGTTATAAATATAGTCTCACTCATCCAAACACGCTTGATCTGTGTACAAGCCATAGTTTGGTATTGAGGAGGCCGAGAGTGGAGCAGACCCTTCAGCATATTCGAGCGCGTGGTGATCCTACAGGTAATGGATACTCTCCTCAACCCCTGCCAATAGGATCAGGCTCGACTGTACTTCCTGATCCCGCTCTGCATACGTTCACTTTCCCGTCCCCATTGTTGCATTCCTTGGACCGACAGGAAGTGATGAATCGAGAGAGTGAACACAGTGCTTATAACATGGTTCCTCTTCCTGTTTTTCAGGTTGGTACGATGTCGCATGTTGCGGATGATCAGGTGGTCCAGTTTTCATTGGCTGAGGTCCAATCGGTGAAGTTTCGAACTTCTCGGAGCTTGTTGGGCAGGATGTTCACGGAGCACCCAGTGAACCTGGCGGATTTCAGGGATGCGTTGGTTGCGGCTTGGCAGGTGAAGGGCCAAATTCGGATTTCGGTAGCGAAGTTTGGTCTCCTGGAGATAGTTTTACTGACTGAAGAGGCGAGGATCTGGGCCCTCAAACGCACCCCGTGGGTGGTGATGGATCGCATACTCCATCTACGCTCCTGGTCTCCAAAAATCACTAAGCTTACCTTCGAGGAGCTGGCCATAGCGCCATTTCGCGTTCAAAGACGATTGCTGCACGAAAAAATTCGGGCATAAACTGGCCCATGGCACTATTGGGAAGGTCCTGGAATCTGGTGTGTTCGCTTCCAACGACACCAACGAGTGCTTTGTGAAAAATTTGAGCTCTCGTTGACTTCACCAAGCCCCTTCGATCACAAATCATGGCCGCTAGTGAGGAGCTGAGGCGCTTCTGGGTGAACCTAAAGTATGAGTTCTTACCGAGCTTTTGCTACTACTGCGGGCGAGTGGGACATACGAAGCCGGACTGTGCTTTCGATCCGCCTCAAAGGCAAGAGCGCTTCGGCCCACATATGTCCACGAAGAAGCTCGGCCGTAAACTCTATGATAATGATGAAGACGGTCCAAGTTTCAGGCAGGAACGGAACACGGTGTGGGTCAATCGCACCATTCGTGGGCAGAAGGAGGAGGGGCGGATGGCGACAGGTGGCCTCACTGATGAGGGTCGGCTAATCCAATTGAATCCTGATACTCTTGCTCGTCCCCGCCAGGAGAATAACCCTCTCCCCCACGAGCCCAAAGAAAAGGAACGAGATGGTGAAAGGAAAATGAACCGACGGCGTGACAACCCTCGGGTCTTCAAACTGCGGACATCGCCGCGAATCCAGCTGGGCCGTGGCGACGACAAAGTGCAGGGGAGGCGGTCCCCGTGAGTCGGCTCCAGCAAATCGGCGAAGACTGATGCGGCAGCAGAAAGGCGGCCAAAAAAAATGCAGCTCCGTGGAGAGGGCCCGGTTGAGACAGCTGCGATCCTTGCTCAGACTCGGCTGCGGCGTCTTATTTTGGCGGACGAGTCTGAGGAGGAGTGGGAGGCTGGCTCGAAATCGGTGGCTGGTGGGTCTAGGCCCAATTCGCTTCCCATTCAAGAGCTGAAGTCAACTAGGCCTCAAGCCCAGAAAATGATTGTGGCAGAGGAGGCCTCTAGTGGGCTCGCGGCAGGGGAAAGAGGCAACGCGGCTTGGCTGATTAAGACGGAATATGTGGCCCCCCTTCGTACGAGTCATCATCTGCGCAAGCTGGGCGCTCATTCCGATCACACCATGGAGGAAGGAGCGCAAGTGGGCCTGCAAGAGGTTGAGCTAGCGGACTCAGACCTCAGCCCACAGGAAGGGATCCTAGATTCGGACGGTGATTCCTCCCCAGCTGCTGAAGAAGCTTTTGAAATTAGGAGGCGCTCGCCTCTCCCCAACCCCCAACGAGCCCAGCCAATTAAATCAGGTCGGGTTGGTAAGATTGTCGCAGCTTTTGAGGGAGAAGTGGTCGCCGAGCCTGCAGGGGGAGATGCTCCAGATCATAGGGCATGTGTGTCGCTCCCTACTGTATCTAAAGGAGATAATCAGAAGCTGTGCGGGGAGGCCTTGGCCACGCTGAACGAGTATGGGTCGAATTTATTTGACCCTAACTCTGGGAACCGGAAAAGGCCGCTGGGAATGCTGGATGGGGATGATGGAAATCCTCCTACTCCGAAAAAGCAATTTGTGGAGATTAATGACAGTGAGGAAAAGATGGAGGTAGCCAGCCTGGAATGGCCCCAGGGTGATAAATGAGGCTTCTGGCTTGGAATGTGAGGGGAATTGGACCATCACTCACATTCCAAACTGCTGTAGGTTTGATTCATTCTAATAAACCGGACCTTGTGTTCTTCTCGGAGACACGATCGAGCCGGAGAGTAGTCACCCGTCGTATGCGGGGGTTAGGTTTTCAGCTTTCCCATTGTTTTTTGTTGATGCGATTGATGCATCTGGAGGTTTAGTAGCTGCTTGGTCCCCCGGAGTTGACGCTTCGGTGTTTTTTCACTCTAGATTTTGTATTTGCATTCAAATTAATGAAGTTGATTTTTCTTATGTTGTGGTCCTTGTTTATATTAGTTGTAATGTGACAGTTCGTGAATCCCAACTTGCGCAGCTGCGCGAAATCTGTGAGCATTTCCACCATCCCTTTGTGGTCATTGGGGACTTCAATACTACTCTTCATGAGAGTGAGAAGGATGGTGGGTTGGTGTGGAATGCCGCCCAAGCTCTTAGTCTGCGAAATTTTATCTAGGAGCTGGGTCTCCATGATCCCGGGCACCAGGGTGACATGTTCACTTGGACAAATAGACGAATGGGTGCTGCCTGTATTTGAGAGAGGTTGGATAGGGCTCTCTGCTCTCAATCCTGGATTGATCGATTCCCGGAGACCATGGGTAAACATTTTATGGATCAGGGGTCGGATCATCGTGCCCTTCTCCTCTCTGACAAGGTGTATGCTCGTCATAGCCGCCCCCTCTTTCGATTTGACGCCCGCTGGGCTGATAATCCTGAGGTTAGAGCTATGGTTAACTACGTCTGGAAAGAGGAGATCCAAGGCACCCCTATGTTTCGACTATGGGAACGCCTTAAGAAGCTCCGACATTTATTGTATGATTGGAGTAGGGCAGGCACTACAAAGTCATTGCGTAATATTAAAACTCTCCAAGCAGAGATTGAGAGGATTAAGATGACCCATCCGATTGATTGGGATACTGTTAGAGGTCTAGAGATCGAACTTAATCGAAAATGGGAAGCGGAGGAGGTGTACTGGAAACAGAAATCCCGGGTCCAGTGGCTCAAGAAAGTTGACAAAAACTCGTCCTATTTTCATATAGTGACTCGGGTCCGCAGGAAACGGAATTTTGTTGTCGGCCTTCGGGATGAGAGTGGGAGCTGGGTCATGGAGGAAAATGGGAAATCTGCCATTGCCACTGGTTTTTATCAGGGCCGTTTTACCTCGGAATCCCAAGTCCCAAACATGGTGGAAAGGGTTGCTGCCCTCCCCATTAATCGCAGTGTTACACTTGAGATGAATGCCACTTTGACCGCTGAGGTTTTACTAGAGGAGGTTCGTAAGACTGTCTTCTCCCTGGGATCGAAGCAGGCACCTGGTTCTGATGGCTTCACCGGAAAGTTCTTTAAGGCTTTCTGGGATATTGTTGGTGCTTTGGTCATTGAGGCAGTCTGCTCCTTCTTTGCGACGGGGCGATTGCTGTGTAGCTTTAACCATACTTGGTTAACGTTGATCCCGAAGGTGGATAATGTTGAGACGATTCAGCAATTACGCCCAATCAGCCTATGCCAGTTTGTTTACAAAATCATCACAAAGATAATGGCTGAGAGACTTGCTGTCCTCCTCCCCCAAATTATATCCGATGGCCAAAATGCGTTCATCAGGGAAAGGCAGATAATTGATAATATCCTCCTTGGTCACGAACTAATGCACTATCTAAAAATAAAAACGCGAGGTAAGAAAGGCTACAGGGCTTTAAAGGTTGACATGGAAAAGGCCTATGATAGAGTTGAATGGGCCATTCTTCTTGCGGTTTTAGACAAGATGGGTTTCAGTTCGGTCTGGCAGGGGTGGATACATGAATGCCTGCGATCCGCATCCTTCTCGGTTCTTATGAATGGTACGCCTTCGGGGTACTTCACTTCCTCGAGAGGGCTTCGACAAGGGGATCCGCTTTCCCCCCTCCTGTTTGTGTTATGCACGGAAGGGTTTGCGGCACTCATGCGCAAGGCTATCTCTGAGAAGAAGCTGGATGTGGTGAAAGTGGCTCCGCGGGCCCCCAAGATCTCGCATTTATTCTTTGCGGATGATTCTTATTTTTTCCTGCGCGGTACTCTCCAGGAATGCGAGAATCTGATTGAGATCTTAAATGAATATGAGGATCTTAGTGGTCAACGGGTTAATTTGGCTAAATCGGCAGTATGCTTTAGCAAGAATATTGCGTTGCCTGACCAGGAGTTTTTGGCTGCTATTTTGGGGGTCGGAGCGGTAGGGGTTCATGATAAGTACCTAGGTTTGCCTACGCTAATTGCTAGATCAAAAATGGCTACCTTTCGGTATTTAGAGGAGAAGCTGCTGGAGCGGTTACAGGGGTGGAAGCAAAGGACTTTGTCGTGGGTTGCTAAAGAAACGTTGATTAAATCAATCGCTTTGGCACTACCATTGCATGTTATGTCCTGCTTCAAGTTGCCTTTATCCCTGTGTCGTCTGTTGGACAAACATGTGGCCCGCTTCTGGTGGGGGGTAGTGGAGGATCAGTCGAAGATTCGCTGGGTGTCATGGCGGAATATGTGTAGGAGCAAGCATGATGGGGGGATGGGGTTTAGATGGTTTGAGCACTTTAATCATGCCCTTCTATCTAAAATTGGGTGGCGTATTATAATGGAACCACAATCCCTATTAGCCCAGGTTTACAAAGGGAAATATTTCCCCAGAGGGATGTTCCTGCAAGCGACGGCTCGGTCATGCCCGTCGTCGGGGTGACAAAGCATTCTCTTTGGTCGACAGTTGCTGGAGAAGGGATTAAGATGGCAGATTGGTAATGGTCGATCTGCCTCACTGCTCCACTCTAACTGGATACCCTGGCTTCAGCTTGACCCCCTAGGTATAATCCACAGGTGTTACCGGAGGGGGGGGGGGACCCGCGGGTAGAGGAGATTTTGTGTCCTGGTGAAGGAAAATGGTGCGACCTTAAGCTCCACCAGTGGTTTGATCCACCGACCTGTCAGGCCATTAAAGCAATCCCATTGCCTCGTAGGGATGTTGAAGACAGATTGATCTGGCATGATACTATTGATGGGGTTTTCTCCGTCAAGTCTGCTTATCATCTGGCTGTCGCCTTGGATAGGAGGGGGGTAGATGGAAATCTGTGGTTGGGTGGATGGACAAGCCTAGCTGGGTTTGCTTGTGGAATGCGGATATTCCCCCGAAGTTGAAGGTCTTTGTTTGTCAGATCCTTAACCGTGCTCTCCCAACGACGGAGGCTCTCATTGAGAAGAAGGTTGGAGTCAATCCCAGATGTCCGGTCTGCTGGGAGGGTACTGAGACCCTGGAGCATCTCTTTCTTGAATGTCCAGTGGCTCGTGCCCTCTGGGACTATTCGGGTCTGGACTACCTTGGAGAGGGATTGCCTCGGCATACCTTCCCGTTATTTCTGAAGAGATTGCTGGCTTTGGTTCATAACCCGGCGTTGTTCAGGATGGTGGTGGCCATTCTGTGGAGGATTTGGCGATCTCGGAACTGGGTTGTCTTTGAGGGCAAGCAGTTCGGGATCCCAGCCTTGATGCGTCAATTTCAACAGCAGTATGAGGAGTGGGTGGGTCTATCCGCAGGCCCTGCATCATCGCTGATTTCGTTGGCGCCAGCTCCAACCCATACTAGTTCTTTGGGGGACACTAGGGCGATTTGTATGTGGGATGGGGCCACGCATAGTGATTCTCACTCTGCTGGTGGGATGGTTCTTATGAACCCAGCAAGGGAGATCCTCTTGGCAAGGGGAGTCCAGTTTCCGTCGATTGATGACCCCATGGTTATGGAATTGCTCGTACTCAGGGAGGCGCTCGTTTAATGTCTAGAGCTCGGCTTTTCGGAGGTTAGGTTGGAGGGGGATGCTAAAGTGCTCATTGATAAGATCAACAAGGCAGATGCTAGAGATAACAAAGTGGGGGCTGTGCTGGAAGAGATAGGATACTATTTTCAGGCCCACCCTGGTTTTACTATACGATTTGTAGGTCGGCGTCACAATAGGGTAGCCCAATTGGTGGCTAGAAAGACCCTTTCTTTGTACCCGACTATGAGTCGGCATTTTGATTTTCGTACCTGGCTTGCTTCCAGGATGTAACTATCGATTGCTTATATCAATATATGATTACCTTTTGTCAAAAAAAAAAGGGTAATGTCTATTTTTTATTCAAACTTTTTTCAGATTCTTTTATATTATCCAAACCTATTAAAATTCTATTAATTATCCAAATCTTTCATAATGTATCAAAATATTAGTCATTTTTACGTTATTGTTAATAAAATTTTAACTCTTTTTTTAGTTAAAATACTAAAATTTTGGAATGTTGACCTTCATGAGTCTCTTTCAAGTCAGTATCATGTTGCCAAGTCAATATTACTAACAAAATTGCTAACTGGAAGTTAACATTTGACTAATTTTTAGTATTTCGATAGGTTTGGATAATATAAAATAATATGAAAAAGCTTTAGATAAAAAATAGACATTACCCATAAAAAAATACTAATAAGACTGGGCAGCATTTTAAAAGTTAAAAGAGGAGAAAATTGATGATGAAGACGAAGATGGTGTTGAAAGGAAAGCCATTACTCCTACAACTACAACAATTTCACCCCCTCCGTCGGACTAATTGCAGCTTCTTCATACTACACTCCCTCCTTTCCACTCACACCCCCGCATCAACTACAAGAGCAACAGCAGGAAGAAGACCGAAAATCTTTCCGCCGCCACCCGTCTCGATCTCAAACCCAAAGACCTCCACTTGCTGCTACTCTCATCTTCAGGTAAGCTCTTCCTTTTTCTCCATTTTCACGCCGTCTTTCCTTCTTGCAGCTTATCCATGGGGTTTCGTTCCCCGCCTCTATACTCTTGAACCAGGTGTCCGCCATGTCGTCCTCCTCGGATGATTTCTATACTTTCGGACCTTACAAGATTCACTCGAAGGAAGTCTTCTACTCCACCGACCTCTCTTACGCCATGGTCAACCTCCGGCCCCTCCTCCCTGGTTCGTCACCTATAAACCTTCACTGATCCAATTATCCTCCATTCTGATTCTTATGAAGGAACGAACAAATGAAATCTATGCACTCGCTCTGATTTGCAGGTCATATCCTTTTCCGAGTTCAAAATTCTACGTCCCATAAATTTTCCGCCTCTTCCATTGTGCTAATTTAATCAATCACATTTGATTGTTTTCATTATGTATTATTGTTATAATTTTTGTATTCCCGGTTCGATAAGAGTCGTTTCTGATTGCCGCAAATGAGAAGGTGTTGTCAAATCGTTGAAGTTCAGGATTTCTAACCCTAATTTCACCTCGAGTTTAGTACCTATTTGTGATCTTGCTTTCCGTCTCCACCTCTGCACATTGAAATTACCAATTTGGTTGGGAATTTTTGGTTCCCAGAAGGTTGAAGGTCCTGAAGTGTTGTGTTATGGCCTATCAAAGGACTGATTGTGCTGATTGCAGTGCCATGTTTTCATCAAGTAAACTCAGTTCAATTGGTTGCCTTGACCACACCTTACATGTGCTCGTCTGTCCTAGACGTGAAGTAAAGCGCTTTGGTGATCTTACTGCTTCAGAGACTAGTGATTTATGGGTCACGGCACAAAAGGTTGGTTCCCAGCTTGAGCGCTTCCACGGAGCATCATCACTCACATTTGCGATCCAAGTAAGACTTTCCATTACCAATTTGTCCTTGTTATCTTGTTCTTATACCAAACTTGAACCTACACTGCCCACACTTGCATATTTCCTTCTTTATTGCTGTTAGCTGCACTTTTTGGGTTTTGAAAAATGAAGTATTTGCCCATTATAAATAAATGAAGTATTTTGTCAAGAGTACCTAGATACTCAGTTTTGTTCCATTTAGTTGAAGGATGCTTTCTGGAAGTGCTGCCGATACTGCTCAATATGAGTTGGAAAGGAAACTATTTATAGCTTTGGCACCTGTCCTTACGTGCTTCTGTAGGAAATATAACATTTGTATTTGGTGTGCTGAAGAACTCGCGCTCTTAGTTTTAGATCGAATGTCTATAGATGCTCTAAATCTGTTGTTAATTGCGAGTAATCAGAATGAAATACTGATGTATAGCTCTGTTCAATACAATGAGATGGCTGTGTTTATCCCATCTACTAGAGCTTGGTATGAGCATTCTTGTAAATCACAATTGATGTACATGAAGAAAGTTATGTTAAATAATATGGGAGAAAAATTGTTAGTGTGCATCTACCTCTGCTTGTAACTGCCGTGCTAATCTCTGACTACTTGTTGATGTTTCTGATGCTTTAGGATGGGCCGCAGGCAGGGCAGACGGTGCCCCATGTCCATATCCACATCATTCCCAGGAAGGCTAATGATTTTGAGAAGAATGACGAGATCTATGATGCAGTATGTTGAATGTTTCAGTTGATCCCTCGTTTGCTTTCAATTTTTTAATTATTTTTTCAGTTCAGCCTCGCCCATCTGCTTATGTACAAACAACTATTGTTGTATCCTACCTCAGATAGACGAAAAAGAAAAGGAACTCAAGCAGAAGCTGGATTTGGACAAGGAAAGAAAAGACAGGAGCCTTGAAGAGATGGCTCAAGAGGCTGAAGGGTATAGGGAGCTTTTCTTGCAATAGATCCCGTCGATGAAGGGAGCATATGCCTCATCTCATAGTTTACATTTTCTAATGGTTTTTGGGTCGTGCTCTATTCCGGCTTGTGGAAGATGTTTTACATTATTTGCTCGCCCCATCATGCTCACTATTGAAAATGTTTAAGCCACGTACATTGTGATTTAGATATGACAATTTGGTTGGATTGGATAATTTCGGGTTAGGTGATCATCTCAATTCTCATGTACTAGCCGCAGTGGGTGGGGTTATGTCAATCGAGGATTAAAAGCCGGATTGTACGGGCGATTTTTCCACTTTTTCACGAAAACCTCATACCGAAAACAAAATTGGTAAGCTAGCGGTATGAAATGGTTGAACCACGTTTCAACATAAAATATCTATTCTTTACTTTATTGGTACAACTTTCGGTACGATTTTTCAACTGAATGGCTTAATATCGTCCTAGTTTTACTATTATCGCCCTAAAATAAAACATAAAATTACTGAATTAACCTTAATTAACTAATAGAATATCTTCCGGCGTGGCCCCACTATGTGCACTCCAAAAACCTCACTTGCCACCGAAAACAGAAATCACTTCGCCGTCGACTGCTCCAAACACCCATCCTCCATCCCGCCGCCGTCGGACTGGTATGTTAGTGGAAAAGGACTAGGTCAGTGAAAACGATCGAGAATGGAATGGTGAGGTTGATGGTGGAAGCCATAGTCATCGACACCCATTGTACAAACTCCAAACTTGCAACCAATTGGCATCTTACATATCAATGCCCACCAAGGCCTCCAAGCCATATACATTCACTCATAAACAATCTAAACATGCAACAAACAACAACATTTTAACATTTGATCATTCATCACTCACCATCATCTATTAAAAATCATTCTTAACTATAGCAAGGTCATTCGATATGTCTCCATAACAAATACTACCTAAAACGAAATTCAAGCATGCAAGTTCATTATTGGAAGAGGGTAAAGAAACGTAAATCGATGTTGGGGTGCCTCCCAACTAGCGTCTTTTACGTCTTATCTCCAGATGTCTACCATCAAGCCTTTAGTCTAGCTCAAGACCTCCTTGAAGTTGAGGTTTTCATCCGCGAAATGGAGTGTCACGTCTTGGCCGTTTGCCCCATAATTCAGTGAAGGCTATTAAAGATGCAAATGCTTGAGACACCACCAATGAATCTCAATTCACATTTCCTCTTCTTCTCTTTGCTTATACATGAATTCAATATTGTAGAGTAGTCACCATCACATCCATCAAAAGGGATTGATGATAAGGTTGCCTTAACTCGACAAATAGTTGTTGCAAAAGGATCCGATGCTAGGAGCCTTTCAAGGTCGGGTGACTCTTCGAGAACCTCGACCTAAAAAATCTCCAAGCATTCATCATCCTCTTCTTCAACTTCCTCTCTTTCTTGCTTGATGTCTTCCCCAAATTTAGGCTCGAGCTCATCCTCTTCTTTGCTTTCTTCATCCTTGATCTCATCATTGCTCTCTTCCTCTTGTAATTCTTCTTGTGTTCAATAGGAGATATGATGTATTCATGATAAAGGTCTTCACTAGACGATCTATGAAGCTCTTCTTGTTCTTCCACTACTTGGAATCTTTCTTCCTCCGCTTATATCCACACATTTGACAAAAAGAATCCAAATGAAGGCTAAGGTCACTAGTTTTGATGCCATTGTACCCTATGTTAAAGCGCTCTATGGGCAAGTCCACCATGATTTTGATCATCGGTGGCGGTGTGGGATGAAGCATCCTTCATCCTTAGAGATTGAAATCTTCTCATCTTTCCTTTTACAAGTATTGCTATACTCACTAACTTCTTGATTGAGCTCTTGAGCAAGGTGAGCTACCAATAGCCGAGTAGCTTCTCTTCGTCGAAATCCCTCTTTGGGCTCCAGTAGAAGGTTTGAAGAAGGTGGATTTATGAAGGTCTCTATCGTGGAATGTGCTCTCTCATTCTTCATTAAGAAGTCCGCCAATTCGAACTCCAAGTTCACTCTAGGCTCCGCGAGTGATGGAGGATTCCACTCATGGTATGAAGGGTGTTCTTCTCGCTATGATGGATGAAATTAATGTGGTATTGTTGTTGATATAAAGGGGTTGGTCTTGGATACCCAAATTCTTAGCTTGTATTGTCACTTGAAGCTCCGAGATACCACCAATTGGGCAGTTGGTGATATCCTCCATTGTTATGCCAATCATTTAGATCCATGTTTCTACGATATCTATACACACAAAAATGAAAACAACATATGAAAGCAAAAGTGTGAAAAAGATAAAATAAAAGACTAACAACAACCTAACACAAGATAACTAAAGGAAGCATGAAAAGTAAGAAATGATAAGCAAAAGAAATTATGAAATATAAAACACACTATCACAACACAAGATACCCAAAACAATATACAAAACACAAAAAAGTTACTAGATTAGCATTTCTTGGCTTTTCCTAATAACCTAAGAATTCCCCGGCAACGGTACTGAAAATTTGATTTGTGAGAGGTCGAGTTTTACATTTATAATTGATGCTCACTAACTTCTTACCTTGCAATGGCAAGTATACCAATTGCTTGGCTCATAGTATAGCGGCTCGGTCTTATTCCAAGAGAACCTTAGGCTTATTATTACTTCGCTCTAGACTCCTATCTAGTCAAATAGAAACGTTTGTTTAAGAACTAACCTAAACCAACCTAACTTACATAACAACCAACGAAGTAGTTGTGAGGTTGCTAGAGATGAGATGGTTGTCTAGGTTTGAGTCTGTCTAGTAGTAGGATAGGTAGTCTATTGAAGTCTATGGCTATTTGAGGTACGAAGGTCACTTAGGTGGGGATCTGAGCAATGGTCATGTCTCTCGATCCCTCTTCTAGTCCACCAGCCACATGTCATCAAAACTGGCTTCCCCTACTAGAGGTGATCTCTACCTCCTCTAAATGGGTTATACTATCCGCACATAAGTCAGGCAAGTCAATGGTCATGCACTTACCCGACAAGCAACAATTAGGTGAGCTCCTACCTAAAAGGGAATGGTCACCTCGTCCGCTAGCTAAGACTCTATATAATCTACCCTAGTATGGAAGCAATCAACACCATTCTCATGTCTAACCCTAGAGTTAACACATGTAAAATACCATATCAAGCATCCAAACTAATTGAACACAAGTCATGCCATATATCATTCAATCAACAAACTCTATCTACATACTAGAATTCATCTACCCTAAGTAACCTTCTAAGTCCCAAAAAGAGGACGAAAATACAAAATAGAAGGAGATGAAGAACTTAAATCCATCTTCTCATCCTTGAATTGCATCCTTCTCCTTGGATTTTTGGATGGATTCCTACTCCTTAAGCTCCACCAAGGTCATTTCTCTATGAAAATACTACTTAAAAACCTAATTTCTCTCTCTCAAATGGCCCCTAGTAATCAAGTTATCTTCATATTTATAGGCAGGCATGGACAAACAAGTTCATGGCCTCGTGTTGGGAGATCGCGATCAAGAACATCCTTCCAACCTGCGGTCTTCAAACACTATCGTTCCTAGTTGCGTTGGAGGTGAGTTTGCAGGCCCATGATTACGGTCATGAGCTAGAAGTCGTGGCTGCGATTTTTTGTCTCAGACTCGATGCAAAAGGCCTCAATATATACCGCAAAACCTTCTGTCTCTTCTTTGCGCATAGCCTCCTTGACACCCCAGCCGCGAACTGTTGCGCAGACCGTGAGTCCTTCGCGGCCTTAGATATCTTGATCGTGATCTTGGTGTCTTCCTCCGCTGTGAACTTTGCCTGCACCCCTACTTTGCTCCAATGCAATGCGGAAATGCATGGATGAACTTCAAATCGATCCCCGATCGATTGTAGATGAGTACAAGGCCTGTAATATCATCACAAAAACCAATCAAACATAAAATATGACAATGTGTGTGTGTGTTGGGGGGGGGGGGGTTAAAACAGGACAAAGTGAGGTTATTCTCCATAAAAGCCTTTATAGTAAAATATCTCATGCGAAAACTAATGATTTACGGATAAGGACAAAAATTAGCTTGCAATATGGACTAGACACGATGTTTTCGTACATAAATGCTTCAATAATAGAGGTTAGATAACACCAATTTGAGTGTAATTATGTATGATAACGAATATAAAATTATAACTGACCACATCATCTGCACTCGAAAATTGCGAGAAGCAGAAGCATTCAGACCACTTGCTAGAGCCTAAGAAAAAGCTGTTGCTGGAGATATCATCACAAAGGTAGTGATTGTAGAAGCTACCAAGCAGTGGCGGACCCATAAATTTTATATAGGGGTATCCCAAATAAAATAAAATAAAATTAATTAAAACTTAAGAAATTATTAAATAAAGCTATCCAACTAATACAAGTTAGTTACAAATCTATTCAATATATCTTACTAGACAATTATCAAACAAATTATGTAACTCAGAGCTGAAAAAACTTTATGAACACTTAGAGTTGAAATAGATAAAACCAATACAACTTTTGAGGAGCAAATAGACTAATGGAAACGATAGGTTCAATTTGTCTCAGCCATTAACTCAACTGATTCATTAGTTTCTTTTAATCCATAAAATAACTTATCATTTTTTACACAATAATAAAAATTCTCAAAGTAATGTAGAAGTACAGAATGAGAGAGGTGACGAAACTCTTCACGATAAAATCATGTGTTTGAATACGGTGGGGATAAGGGATAGTATGTCGGTTTAATTTTAGGGGAAAAAATCCAAAAGTACCACTGTTTTAAAAAAATTTCCAAAAATACCACCCAACCCCAAAAAATTCCAAAAATACCACCATTTTTCAAAAACCGCCACCCCACCCAGCGGTTTGGTCGAAAACCGCTTGTCGGGGGCGCGGTTTTGGACCAAATCGTGGGCCTAGGGGGCGGTTATAAAAAAAAAAAAAATTTGGACCAAAACCGCTGGGTGGGGTGGCGGTTTGGCCCAAAACCGCCACCCCAACCAGCGGTTTGGTCCAAAAGTTCGGTCGAAACTTGAAACGAACGTAACTTTGCACTCGGGTATCCGATCGTAGCGATTTTTTTTTTCATTTCGCATAACTTTTCAAGATCTACAACTTTTACTAGGATGAAATTTTCAAAACAGGAACTATTTGTGGATATACGGGACCTTGAGAATAACTTTACCTTTACTTTTCAGAAATCCATGTATATTTTGAAATTATGATTATATTAAAAGTTGTAGATCTTGAAAATTTATGTGGAATCAAAAAAAAGTTCATAACATTCGGAGTTTGGAGCACAAAGTTATGGCCGCTCAAAGTTTGACGAAAGGCGAGACCCGACGGTTTGCGGCTTGCAAGATCT